AGGTCACGGCGGCTTTCGCCATCGTCGTCGAGGCTGGCCCTCCCTCGAAGCTCCTTCCGGCGCTGCCCGGTGCCTCGTCTGCAGGCTCGGGCTCGACAACAGCGCCGCTCAAGGTCGTGGCGAACGAGGCGACTGAGCTCGGCACGTTTGCGCGCCTCGTCGACGCCATGTCCAACCGGCTCCCGTCCGACGGCACCGTCCGCCTCTCGCTCCGGCAGTACGCGATGGGGTCGGAGGAGGGGCAGGGCATCACGCTCGAGATCGCGCAGCCGGACACCACGTTGCGCCTTGTCGACGGGGAGCTGTCGGCGCCGGCGTTGGCGTTGCGCGGCGCGGGCCCGTCGGGCCGGTACCAGCTCTGCTTTGAGCTCGAGTCCGATGCCCAGGCGTGCAGTGCAGCAGGCTCGCCATCCACCGGCACCGAAGCCAGCCGCTAGAGAGCTCGAGTGCGATCCATAGGTGTCGGGCTGGCTCGCGGTGGACTACGAGAACCCCGCCGACGAGGGGGAGCGAGAGGCGGAGCGGCATCGGCAGGCGGAGAGGCTGCAGGCGGCACAGGCCCGGCTGCAGGCGGCGGAGGAGGAGGAGGGCGAGCTCTCCCGGCGGCAAAAGGCATGTGCTGGTCAGGTCGGTGCTGCGAGGCGCGCGCACGACTGCGCCAGCGCGGAGGTGCGCAGAAGCCAGGCGCTTCTCGCGCAGAAGCGCAGCAGTCGCGACGCGTTCGGCTTGGACGAGGCGGCCGTGAAGCGGCTCAAGACCGCGCACGGCATCGGCGACGCGGACGCGGCGTCGGCGAGCGCGACGGGCGCCATGCCGCCGAACACGCTCGGCCAAAAGCTGCGGGCGAAGGTCGCGCAGCTCGAGGAGAGCTTGACGGTGCGGGTGAGCGTCGACGGCGAGGAGGCGGAGCGGCGGCGCTTCGGCGACTTCCCCATCCCTTTGGAGCCCGACGACAACTCGCGCGTGTGGCTCGAGCTGCGGCCGCTCTCCGACGCCGACGGCGCCCAGGGCCCGCACGGCATCTTCAAGGTTTACTCGCGCGGCGGCGAAGAGCACGCTGAGGGCCCTGTCGACGAGCAGACCCTCTCGCCCGACCCCGAGGGCGAGTACCTGCTCGACGCGCTGCAGCCCGCCGTGGAGAGCGGCCGCGTCGAGAGCCTCTTCGAGAGCGGCCGCGTGCCCGACGAGCGGTGCGCCTCCGTTGAGATCCTCCCTCCCTCCCTCCCTCCTCCCTCTGCCTCCCCTGCCTGCCTGCCTGCCTGCCGCGATGACTCGGAGCGTTTTCCCTTGCTGCCTGCTTTCAGGCTCTCCGACATCGTCGTCGCGTTGCTCTCTCCGCGATCAGGCGCCGATTGCGTTCTTCTCGGCGCCCCGCCGCCGCCGGCCGCTCCGCCGTCCTTCTTTGCCCGGCTGAAGGCCAAGCACCTCAACCCGCTGACGTCTCCGCCGCCGGTTGTACGGGAGCCGCCGCCGCCCGCGGCGGCGGCGGCGCTGCCAGAGGTGGACGCCGACTCTGGGCTCCTCAAGCTTGGCCCGGGCGGGTCGCTGCACCCCCCCTTCGACGGCGCGAGTTTCTTGGTCAACCGCATCTGCTGCGACGGCACCGCGGCGCGCACCGCGTGGTTCCGCGCGCTCGGCGAGACCGTCGTCTTTGACACGTCGAGCGCTATGTACGAGTACTCGACGCAGGCGCCCCCCTCTTCTGTGTTGGTTGCACTCAAAGACGATCTTGGCGTGCTGGGTGGCGGCGGCTACGCCTTGTTCTCGCGCGGTAAGGATGGGTCCGGCACTCATGACACGCTCGCCAAGCCCGCCTCCTCGGCGTGCCGACTCGGGAGGCTCACCGATGCGGACGAGGAGCAGGCGCTGAGCGGCACCGCCGAGGGCCGGAGGGTGGTTGAGTTTGAGCGGGCGGCGAGCGAGCTGAGCGAGCTGGAGCGGGCGGGTCGGGAGGCGGAGGAGGAGGAGGCCTCGGCGGGGAGGGCGCGGAGGGAGGCCGAGTGCGACTTGCGCCTGCTCGAGCAGGAGCTCGACCCGCTGCGCCACGAGGTGGAGCAGCTCCAGCAGCAGCTGGGCGTGGGAGGCACCGGAGGCGGCCGCGGCAGCGGCCGCGGCAGGAAGCGGGCGCGCCAGGGGGTGGCTTAGTCCTTAGACCGATGCATGCATGTAAGAGCTGCGATGGTGACGAATTGGATCGAGGGTCCAGCAGTGTCGTGTTGTACGTTTACTTTTGCTAGGGTGCCCACAGGACCCAAAACCGCAAAAGAAAATAGCTCTGCGCCTCAAAAAAGGACGCACGAGGCAAATCTGATGTTGGATATATGGAATGTTTCAATAGCAGAGAGGCCTCTTCCGTTGGGGGAGTGACTTCACTAGGAAGCGAGGGTTCCCCATTGTGACCCGCTCCAGCGGCGAGCGTGACACTGCACTTGCTGGCGCCGAGCGCCCCCGCGGCTCAGACCTTGTGCAAGAGCCGACCCTCGGTGAGCACGCCGGTCCGGACCGATGGCGCTCGGTGTGGAGCAAGCAAGACCCCCCCTCCCCCCAATCGGCGCGCGCCCGAGCTTTGAACGGCCGCCAGGAGCACCTGGAGGACTCCTCATGGCTGTGCTCAAGTGGGCTTCGACCGGCCTCGGCGGGGGGGGCGGGTTGTCCCGGTTGCGGACGCGTTCTGCAGCCCCCTGGGCGTGGGTCAGCACCCAAAAGCTGCCCCCGGCGGCATACAGCACGGCCAGCCAGCCTCTTCCTCCTCCTCAAGGGCTGTACTATAGGCCATATTGCGCCGCCTCCTACTGGCAGCCGGGCGGGCGCGCGCCGCGGGCGCCTCGGCGCGCGCACGGCTCGCAAAATTCGAACGAGTACTGCCGCCCGGCCGCCTCAAGGCTGCCGGGCGGCAGTACTCGCCTCGCAAGGCGCGCACCGCCGCCAATTGGTCGGTATAGCCTAGCCCGT